AGTCAAGGCAACAAGCGGAACAGACGAAGCCTCGTCAAAGTTGAGATTGCTGGGTTTTATCGCCACAAACTGCTCGTCCACGGCACAGTACTCGCCAAGCGTGCCGAACGCACTGAACGGCGTCCTGGTGTAGACTGCATCACCGACTTTCAGCCGCTTGACGTCCTCACCTACTTCGACAATCTCGCCAGCCGCGTCGAACCCGATGCCGAACGGCTCGGCCGTAGAGGGGGCCTTGCTCAAGAACAACTGGCCCACCGCTTCTAGAAGCATGTAGTCGATGGGGTTCACCGAAGCGCTGTGAACTTTGATACGGACTTGATCCGCGCCGAGTTCCTTCTGAGGCACATTGTTTTGGATCTTCAACTCATTGTCGAGCAGGCCATAGTTCTCGTACTGGTATGCGCGGAAGGTTTGTGGAAACGCCATCGTTCTGAGGTATTTGTGGTCTTGCTTGCGAAATGCAAAATGATCCTCGGCGACATACCTGCTGCTTCGAAGCCGGAGATCCGTTAACACTGTAGTTTTGCGGAGAGCTCCACGTAAAAGTTAAGTAAGACTCTGTGCAGTAAATCTCAGCACTGAGCACTCCATAAACCGCATTGTTGACGGAGAAAGCTTTACTAATCTCATAATCTTCAGCATTTTGTCCAATCAGTGTCGTTTGTCCATGAAACGACGCAACTATCGCAATTGACCATGTCGGATGTGGATCCGGACGATGTCTACGCCAGTGACGAATACGAGCCCGAGTCACCTGCGCGCGCCCAGCAGTCCCCATCACACTCGCAGTCGGGCTCTCCCCATGCAGCCCCGCAACTGACGCTCCGATTTGACGCGAATCTTCCGGACGACGATGAGAGTGAATCCGGAGTCGTCACGCCGTTACTCAATAAGAAATCCAAGCACAGTCGATCATCTCGCGAGTTTAACACTGTTAGTGGCCGCCACTTAATGGACAATACCCCATGGACGTACACCGTCTCGGCGTTCCAAGTCCGTTTGCTGCGAATTCCAGTGACCGAGTCTGCAGCGATCCGGGAGCTGCGGGTGTTTGCGACGATTGACAAACAGGCGGCTCAATCCCGAGGATCGAGGTGGAAGCAAGAACTTCAGCCAGTAGGAAGATCACCTCTGCGACTGAATAGGAAACGTGGAAATCGACGTAAGTCGCTGAGGAGGGTGGAGCCGTATCGACGCAGTGGCCTCATTGAAGAGGCCAAGTGGATGCGTGGTGACGGGAAACTGCGATGGACATTTCCTATGGAGAAATTTCGTCGTTTGAAGGCCTATACTCCGAGGATTAAGGCGTTCGTATATGGGATTGGAGAGGCCGGAGTGGTGAATCCTTCCCGAGCTCAGATGGAGAATCTCCCTCGTCAAGAGAAAGAAGGAGAGATTTTGAGCTTCGGGTGGTTCTTTCTCGATCTGAGGTTCGCTACTTGCTGTTTTATTGACATTTGAATGATTTACTAACTACAAAATTTACACTGTGCGCTCTTTGAAGGACCCCAGACCTTCCAGAGCGGTGGCTAAAGCTGCAAAATTCTCCTTTTGGCGGGGAGATTTTGATCTCCAGTATCTTCATGCCGGTAGAGCTGTCAGACGCACAATCCGTTAAGCACTCAGTGGCGCGGCCTGAAGATAGAGGGTTGTCTAATGTGCGAGCAGAGTCACAAACAGTGAGAGTCAACAAAGCGGAAGCAGTACCAACTGTGGTATCAGGTAAAAGTGGCGAGTATTTGCAGATTGGAGATGGAAGTGGTCAAGACATTTTTGTGCTGTCCGTCTTCATCCAGGCAGCGTTCAACCTTTTGAACGTGGTGGAATCTTCAATGGGTGAGAACAGACAGGAATTGGAGCAGACCGGATTCTGGCTCAGCTACTCTCTGTTTGACGTTGTAGTCCAGACGGATATTTTCCATAACCTTAATGTTGCCGAGTTTTCACCCATTCGCGATAGTTTCCGTGTGAAGACTAGCTTGACGGATCTAGCACTCTGTCTCAAAGCTTTGGGGAATCTCTCGGTGTTTATGTGTACGGAAAATCGGGTTCTTGCAGGAGTGGAAATCCCGTTGCAATTACTCTTGTCAAAGGGACTTTTTGGAGAAGGAAGGAACAAA